ATCCACAAGCAAAAGAGAGGCAGACTCTCCAGGCCTCCAGCCTCTGGCCATCCACCGATGATGACTGTAGGGCCCTGGGCCTCTTTAAGATACCCCTCTTAGCCCTGGACCCTGAAAGCAGGGTAGGAAGATAAAACTTAGGGCTGTCTAGAGAGGATTAGTCAGAATTCAGAGCTGAAGCTGACATTTATCTCCCTTTCAGACTGCCTTCTGTCAACGTCAAGGCATGTATTGGTCACGACTGTCAATTTGACTGACTTAAGAGATACCTACACTTGTAAAACACACCTCTAGGCTGTCTGTCTGAGCATTTCCAGAATGGGACGACATCCTTTTTGATCTGAGCTGGCTGGGACAGCTGTGTTACGTGTCTGAGACGGTAACCTACAGCCCGGCGCCATAAACCTGGGGGCATTTCTTTACCAGGTCTCAGGTGTGTTCCTTTGGAGCAGACTGGGTTCTTAGCAGTATTTCCCACAGTTGTGAGGATCTGGAGGACAATGCAGATTCCAATGCTGGGGTGATTTATGTAGTTATGAGAGCTGCCCTGCACCCACCCACCGCTCTGCCTCCAACTCAACTCCGTAATGCCTTTCTCTCTGCTCTAAAACATATGGAACTCTGAGGTCATGATTACCCCCCCAAAAAAAGGGTTGAGTTTGACTTCCGGTTAATGTTGATCAAGACAAAGTGCTATGACCAGTAATAAACTGAGAACTCTCCTAGCTCTTCTGATATTTCCCAGCTCACATTGGAAATATGGCCCTTTTTCTTCTTTTGCCTAACAGCCCTGGGAGAGCCAACAGTTACCAACAGAATCTCCTGAGTGTTCTCCTCCTTATCCTCCTACCAGTTACAAACCATGAGTTTAAAACTTTGCCCAAGGTCTCTTATAGCAAGTTGCAAGCCCAGACAATAACTCAAGAAATGAATACTAGGAATACACACACACACACACAAAATAAACATCAGTTTTTAGTGTCTCTCTCTAAGAACTAAGGTTCGGTTTTATAGCCACTTCTCACTAGCTCATTAGAAATAACATTTGAGCTCCCTAACAGATTTCCTTCCCTTAAGCTTCATTAACAACAAAAAAAGACAAAGCAGACTCACTTCAACCACAGGTGACTGAGATATTTTGTTCACAAGGAGCCACAGGGCCACAACAGCACAAATCCACCTGGATTCCAAAAGCAAGCACACACAAGTCACCTGAGGGTTCCCTGCATCGCAGTGGCCCTTTGTGTTGTAGGCGGGATAATCTCTGGCAGCATTCTTATGACACGACCAATTACTAACAAGAGGCGACCTCCAAGGGGAAATGGTGAGGGGTCTGCCAGAGTGCAAGCATGTTGAAGTCTCCAGACGGAGCTGGAACACTAGGAGGCTCTAAAGTCAATGAGATGAGGAGGGTAGTCGCAGAGTGTTCCAACAGCCGTCTCTGCTTGATCAAACAATGAACACACAGATGTGAAAGCCATAATCTAAATTGAATTTTGGCGGAAGACGTTCGCGGATCAGCCCACCACAGACTTCATGCGCTATTTTCTTCAACGACAGACTTCTTACTGCCCTGCCAATGCAAACCGTTGCTGCTAAGGGCCCCTCTGCAGTTCCCAGGTCACCACTAATTGGAGAGTATGAAGAGAGTTGGCTTTTACCTCTTCAACTGTTTTATGTGAACAACACACACACACACACACACACACACACACACACGCACGCACGCACGCGCACGCACGCACGCACGCACACACACACACACACACACACACACACACACACACACACACACACGCCACATCCCCCAGCAAAGGGCAGTTGTAATGACAGTTTCTTATCACCCGGGGCTAGAATTTCAAGCCAAACTCTACAGGAACCACATTTTTGAGCCACAAGCAGGAGAGAATAGCACTATTGTGCTGGCCCTGGGGAGGGTGGGGTTGAGATAGGATCAGCCCCACTTTAAAAGTCTGCGGTCCTATTAGAAGGGAAAACTGCCTCTATTGCTTGAATTACAAAGGCACTGTGGGGTCAAGCTAACTCAGGCAAATTTCCACTCTCCCTGGTGTTTGGGAAACACCAGCACTTTCCATTGGTCAGTGACCCACATCCTGCTCTGCAGATGCTCACAGATGTCTCAGCAACAAGCAGATACCTGGCCCACAGGGAGCCAGGGCAGCAACCTTGGGTACAGAGAGTTGATTTGGGAGGAGTGACATTGTAGGATGGCCAGTGACTGGGTAGCTTTATCCCAAAGGTGAGCTCCTATGGGGGCTGCTGCTCGTACATTTCATGTGCCCAACAGTCAGTTTAAATGCTACCAGCAAATGACACACACTTCTTAAACGACTCCGTTGTATGGAATGGAATGCAACTTGGCAACTATTTTTTTTTTGCCATGTCAAACTCAAAGCCATATTTGGTTTGGCTTATTTCCCTCATCACACCTCTAGGCTTACTGGCACAATGAGGTATATAGAAGAATCCCTCGCAAAGCTCAAACCAGAGGGCCCTTTATTTTGGTTCACAGTCTAGAGGGATACAGTCCATTCATGGCGGGATGGAATGATGCCAAGGGCCTGAGGCAGCAGCTGGTCCCATTGCATTCACACTCGGGGGAGGAAAGCTAGATGAATGCGGGCGTTTAGTTCACTCTGCCCTCTTTATTCAGCGTGGAAATCCGGCCTGTAGGGCGATGCGCTAAAATTCAGGATGGATCTTTTTCACCTCCGTTCCCTTACAGACATGTCTCCTCCTAGATAATTTCAGATCCTGCCAAGTTGGCATGGAAGATTAAACATCATAGACATAATTTCAAAAAAAGGACTCTATAGACTAGGAATCCCTCCCCAAGACCACTCCTGTGCTCTGCCCTTCAGGGTCTCAACACCATGCACTGATGGGTACCAACCGCAGACGCTGCCAGGCAGCACAAATTCTTCAGGTTTGTGTTGGTGGATGAAGAGCATAGATATGATTCTTGGACAAAGAACAGGGTCCTAAGTGCTGATGCTGAGCTACAACAGCTCGCCAATGAGAGGTGTTGTTATCTGAATGCAGAATATTTCCCCCACAGGCTCATGTGCCTGAATACCTATTTCCCAGGCCAGGGCACTGCTTTTGAGGGGTTTTGAGGGGTGAAACCTTTGTGATGAGAGACATCCATGGTATATGAGCTCTAGACCCCATAGCACATCTTTGGGATCAGGTTACTGAGATGTCGACCCTCCTAACTCCAGACCTATTTCTAGACAAATTCTCGGCCTTCCGATCCACCAGGTTATGAGAAAACCATGCTGCAGGCTCCTGACGGTAACACCATGAACTCCACCATGCCTTCCCTACCACGATGGGCTGATACTTTTAAAACTGTAAGCCCAAATAAATCTTCCCTTTAAGCTTCTTCCATCTGGTTGTTTTTTGTTTGTTTGTTTGTTTGTTTGTTTTGTCACAGAAGAGAAAAGTTACAAGACTGGAAAGAAAAGCAAAGGTTTGACCTCCAGAAGACCCACCCACCCACTGGGCTCAACTCTTCCAAGTGCCAAGTGCCTCCCCTGAAGTCAGGGTCAGCAGCACATCAAACAAGAGCCCCTGGAAGTCAAGGTCAGATGCAAATGGAGAGGCAGATGCAGGTAAAGGCACAGGCACAGATGCAGCTGTGCACAAGCGGAGACGGTGCCGATTAGAGCAAGATGCCCACGTGTGCGCCCTTGACCGTCCTCGTCCCAAGCTTTAGACACCAGCCTGTGACCTCTTCCAGTGTCTCTCCTGGCCCCCGTAACAGCCAACCTCTGGGACACCTTGTCCATCCCCCCACATCTGTGCTCTGTCCTTGTCACATGTCCCTCCCTCCAGCCTTCCTTCTCTCCATTCTCCTCATTCCAGTGGCTTGTTTTAGACGAGGCTGCCTACGTAGCTCCAGGCATATGCTGTGACCTCTTACTTATAAAGGGCCCTGGAAACTCCAGCACTGCTGATGCCAAGGCTTACCTTGGATAGTCAGGAACCAGGTATTCCTTGACAGCCTGGGACTGGTTTCTCAGGAGCGAAGAATGAAGCCGTTGGTGAAGTTTGTGGTGGGGGCCTGGGATTGGAGTCTCACCCCAGACTCTCATTTCATTCCTTGAGTGACCTTAATCGCCCTAGGTCATACCCTGGGGTCACAGTCCTCCCACTGGATGCACGGTAAGGTAAAAAAAAAAACACATTAGTGTCCTGCATTGCTGCAGCTGTGTTATGTGATGAATTGTGGGAAGAACCGTGGCTGCTTATCTAGTAGGGAGGGCCACTGCTACAAGCTCTGCTTTAGCCCAGGGTTCTCCTTGGTCTGAAGGGCTCTGGGGTCTTGGGTGCTGGTGAGGAAGATAAAGGGTGGGAATGGAGTTGCTGGCACTCTGGATGTCCACCTGGCAGTGTCCCTGGTCTCCAGCCAGTGGGGGCATCAGAACATCCACATGCTATTAAGCCCTGGCTGGGTGCCAGCCTACCCTGCAGCTTCAGGGGCCTCTTCAAGAGGCCATGAACTGTAAGAACAGGAAACGGCGGAGAAAATCTTCTGTTTTGTAAACACAATACTTGGTTTTAAGCAGAATGAATTCAAACCAAAGAACCTATGCCAGACCACAGTCTTTCCGAGGAGCACCAGCGTTAATGCCCCTGCCCACCTACAGGAGAGAGAACCAGACCTGAGCTTCTGGGGCAAAGCAATGCGTAACGAAGTTCAGGCTACAGAACCGTGGCCCTTAATGAAAACCCTCTTCGCAGAATCCCACCTGGATGCAGGCCCTAGTGCTAGCCAGGGAGACAGCGCGTGGTTAAAGAGCAGTCAGTGTGATTGGGGACTGCAGACACACAGATGTCACCTCTCACAGTCCAGGATTCCCTTTAGCGTCGTCAGTCTGACTGGGTGAAGGCCTTCATGAGCGTGTGAGCTCAGCCGCCCCAACAAACCTGTGCGTCTTCCTGCAAGTCGCTCCCAGAGAAGCGATGACCGCTGCACACCACTCTCCGGCTTGATTTGCACAGGCCTCATAAAACTGAGAGTGTGAGGAGAGGGTGGCCAGAAGCAGCTCTGTTTCTCTCCTAGGCCCGGCTGTGTTGATTTCTTCTAGGAAGCCCACCGGGAACGCTGGTGGTGTCCCCGTTCCTGGGAAGACCTAAGATGTGTGACCCGCTCCTGTGTCTTGGAGGTAATGGCCATTTTAAGGAAGGGCTGCCTGGCCTGAGCTCAGTTCACAGGACCCAGGCAGCAAGGCCCACAGTCCTGAGCTACAGGGAAGAGAACAGGGAAACAAGACAGCAGGGGGCATTTCCAGCTAGCCTCTTAACAAGTGGCAGTAAAGAGTAAGCACTTCAGCCTGCTCAGGTGCTCTTCCTGCTGAATGGCAGCTTCATGTGGGCTCTGATGGAAAGGGCTGTTGTCTTCCCAAGGGTCCGTGTCAGACTGGACCTGGTGGTTAATGGGAGAAGCTGCTCTTATTGGCCATGGCCTGCTTGACTAAAATTTTTTAAAGTATTTTCCATACTCACTCCTCTTCAGAGGAAATTTTTGTCAAATTAATTTAGTATTTCCTCCGACTAACAATGATAGAGAGCTGCTTTCTCCCTTCTGGGAGCCCTCACTCCCCAGCTTGGGGCTTTCCAGGGTCCAGAACCACGCAGGAATGAACATGCCAACAAACTAAGGATAAGTGTTTGTTCCTAAGCGGCACCCAATGCCCTTCTGTCCTCCTATAGGTCTCGGGAGCCTGTTCTCCATCAAGGAGATTGAGGCCAGCACCCTGTGCCTTGAGAGCCTTGGGAACGAGCTCAAGGCAGGGTTGGTGAGCCCATACGGGTCGTTTTCCATCACAGATGCTTCATATGAGTAGTATAACATCCCATGACCCTCCACACAAACCTTTATGGTGCTTTCTGGCTCTGCCAACCCCTCCTTCAAGCCCCCCCATTGCCTCTTAGTCTGACAGCCCATTAGGACAACTACAGACATACAGGTTGGTGGTGTCAATGGGCAATGATACACAGAAAAGTCCTACTAGCTGTCTGTGAGTCCCAAAAGCTTGTCTGCTATGCTACAACCAGTCAGGACACAGTATACTGACACCCATAGTTCCCACAATCTTCATGCAGTCCCGCTAACAGAGCCCTGCAGCTAATCACTGCCCTCCACTTCCGTTCCTGGTGTCTTAGAGATGCAACGACATGAGCCTAATCTGGGGTCTGACTTCTTTGTGTTGGGAAAATACCTCTGGTTTTGCCAGGGTTATTTCTCCTTATCGCTGAATGGCGTTCTGTGTCATGGGTGTGCCACCTAGCCACCTGGGAAGAAAACATTTTAATTCACCTTGGTTTCCTCCAACTACAGACAGCGGCTTCTACGTGTATTTGTATGCAGATCTCTGTGTGAGCGCACGATCTCTTCTCCCATGGTAAGCCTGGGGAGCAGGACTATTGCTATTTAACTTTATAAGACATTCCCAGGCTGACTTTCATAATATTGCGCTATTTTAATACTCCCATCAGACATGTACGCGTAACCTAGTTGATCTGCACCCTCATCATAACGTGACACTGTGGATATTTGCTATCGCAGACGTTCTCTTTTTTGGATTGCACTTTGGCTTCTGCATGTAGCTGGCAAGCTCTCTGCTACTCAGCCACACTCTCAACAGGTAAGGAACCAGATCCTACCTGCGGTTAACTTGTCTACCCAAGTGTTTGGCCCATTTTTCATTGAGCTGCTTCTTCCCTTCCACTGAGTTTTTATTGCTGTTTACATATTGAAGACAAGCCCTTTTGATGTACATGATTTGCAAGAATTTTCTCCTGGTCTATAGTTTACCCGAATTTTCCCTTCCTGGTAGCATTTGTGACAGACCAAAAGCGTTCCGTTTTAGTGACGTTTGAGTTACTGATCTTTTTTTCTCCATGGGTTATGTTTTGTTATGTGTTTTAAGACCGTTGTGGCCAAAGTTAATTCTGGAGCTTTTCCTTTCTGTTTCCTTGTAAACGTTTCACAGTTCACATTTAATATTGCATCTTATAAGGTTCAAGGTTCATATATCAACATTCTTTTTTTTTTCAACCAGATATCCCACTGTTTCAAAAAGCATCTCTAAAAACTACACCCCTTATCTACCAAACTGCCTCGGAATTGCTGTCAAGGGTCAGTTCTGGGTAATCTGTTCTGCCCCCAATGATTTATGTGTCTGTCTCAGCCAATATCAGAACGCTTTCATTACTATCGATTGTAAGATTGAGTGGTGATTTTTTTTTAGTTCAGTCTTCTCGAACTAGCTTTGGCCATTTTTGAGTCAGCTGTATAAGTAAAAGTCTAACAAGAATTCTTCAACTGGAACCGTGTCAAGTATGAAGGTTAAGTGGAGTGAGCTGGTATGTTTGCAGTTTCAAATTTTTCAGTCAGAGAAATAAGTGTTTCCTCATTTATTTGTCTTTTTTAAATTGTTTCAAACCATATTTTATGACCTTTAGCCTACGCATTGTGTATGTGTGTGTGCGCGTGCGCGTGTGCACATGCGTGAGCATGTATAAATGTGTATAGATACATGCAGGCGACTTTTTGACACTGTGACAAATACTTGCAGTAAACAGTTTAAGAGGGATTTATTTTGGCTCACTAGCTCAAAGGTCATGTGGTTTTGATGTTAAATATCTCAGATAGATTCTGAATTTGAACACTTGGTTCCCACAAGGGGGGGCTGCTCTGGGAAATAGAAATTGTGGGAGGTGGCACCTGGCTGGAGGAAGCAGGTTACTGGAGGAGAGTCTTGAAGGTTATAACCAAATATTGCTCCTGCCCCCTGTCTGTTTTCTGATATGACAACATGTGAGCAAGCAGCACTCTCCCATGACCTCAGAGCTGTCCGCTGCCACGCCCTCCGCAGTGATGAACTAGTCCTCCCAAACTTAAGTCAGAATAACCCCTTCCTCCCTTAAATTGCTTTTTTTGTTAAGTATTTGGTCACAGGAACAAGGAAAGTGACAAATACAAAAGGTTCCCATGCAGAGTCCCTTGGCCCTGTTACTTCTGGGCCCATGTATGGTCAAGACAAAACATGATGGTCAAGATCAAAGTGGCCTGCCCCATGACAAAAAAGAGGCAGAGAGGAGATAGTAAGGGTCCAGGGACAAAGAATAGCCTTCAAAAATGTGCCCCACTATAACTGGAGTTTTCTTTCCAGCCTGGTCCTACAGCTGCTTTGCCCCAAATAAACACACGGATGCTAATGTTAGTTATAAAACTGTTGGCTGATGGCTAGAACTTCTTATTGGCTAGCTCTGTCTCAATTATTAACCCAAAACTACTAATCTATGTATTTCTAACATGACCTTATCTTATTGGAGAATGAATGCCTGCTGTGTCCTATCCTCCTCGTCTCTACAAGGAGGCATCTCTTTGAGGCACCACTCTGCCTCACTCCCCAGAATTCTCCTCATTCCCTAGCTCCAACTATCTTCCTTCCTTCTATTGGCCAAACAGTGTTTTACTCATCAACCAATAAGAGAAACATATACACAGAAGAACATTCCCCCATCACCCCACTGACCTTCCTCTAACCAGAACCTGTTTCCCGACAATCCACCCAGCTATCAATTCATCAAGGGGCTAACTTGCTGGTAAGGTAGCCCCTTCATGATACAGTCATCTCTTAATAACATCTCGACTTGCAGACCAACTCATCATCACGTGAAGGACATTTCATAACCAAACAATAACACCCCAACCCCCAAAGACTCTCTCATCCATCTCACACGATGCAAAAAAAAATGCATTCAGTCCAGCTTCAAGAAATTTCCAAATTCTCAAAAGTTCCAGAATTACTCAAAAATCCAAATCCAAGTTGCCTCTGGGACTCAGGGAAACTCTTATCAATGAGCCCCTGTAAAATTAAAAAACAACCCAAACAACTGAGGCCCCTGCTAAGACATTGAGCTTAGCCATCGTCAAGGACGATCTGGAAGGGAACGGGGGGGGTGGAGAGGAACTGGGAGGAGTGGGAGGGAGGGGGAAAACTATAATCAGGATTATACTGTATGAGAAAAGAATCTGTTTTCAATGACAGGAGAAAATGGGAAAAGAAACACAAGTTAAAAAAAATACCAACAACTCAATAAAAAATAAATAAATAAACAAGTTACACACTGCCAAGGCACAATGGCAAAATTCCAGAAGATAGGAATAGCAACATAGAGACAACTGATGACTAACACAAACCCCGGAGCCCAGCAGGGCAGACATTAAATCTTGCAGTTCCATGTGAGGCATCCGGGCGTGTGGTGTCACATATGAGTCCCAACAGGCTTGAGTAGAATTGCTCTTCTATAATAGCTAGACATTTGCGCACCCCCCCCCACCCCATGGACTCCCTGTTTAGCTGGCTCTGATGGCTGCCCTGTGATTTCTTTCAGCACAAACATCTAACGTCTTACGGTCACCCTGGCATCCTTGGCTTTGGTTTTACAGCTTCATATCTGTCCTCTCTGGGACTCCCCCCCGCCGCCTCAGGAATTCTAAACCTGCCATACACTGCCTGGCCTCCTAGACCTTCCTTTGAAGTCTGGGTGGAAGCCTCCATGATCTCCTACAAAATCAATCCCACACCAATGACTCCGAAGTCTGCCAACAGCTTGAGCTGTAGCCAGGCCCACAGCTACACCAGCAGCCCGGAGTGTATAAGGGGATCATGTGAAGGGACACAACTCATTACTTTATGAAACATACTGTGCTCCTGCCTCTGACTCTCACAGTTCCTGGTGAGAGGTTCACTGGTACACATTTTCCACTATAGGTAAGAAGTTGTTTTTCCTCTGGCTACCTTCAAGATTTTGGTTTTCAGAAGTTTAATTAGGGTGTATCTCTGCATGGGTGTGAGTTTACTCAGCTTGAAAATTCACTTCTCAAATGCAAAAAGGTGTGTCTTTTGCCAAAATTGGGGAATCCTGTTTAGATTCAATTTCCACAACACGGTTGTTCACTCAATCGTTAGTCTCAATGCTTCTGTGAAGGAATTTTAAGAAATGAGTTTCAGAGAGCGATAGTGTCCTTAATGAGCCTGGCATAATCAAGAAAACTCTGAGAAAGGGATGGGGCTTTTCCTGGCAGTCCTGGAAGTGTGAACAGGATTCTACTGGAGCAAGATTCCATCTGTGTCTCCCTACTGACTTCCAGGACGGCGAACAAAGAGGGAAACCGAGGACACTTGGACTAAGAGCAACTCATCTCATGCCCTGCAAGACATTATAATCAGTCTTTCATGAGTTCGGGAAGGGAATAAAAGTGACATTTACAATGGGCTTTGGAGGCATAACAGTTAAATCTGGTCACAGACGTATCTGTCTACAGCTACTCCTGTACACTGGACAGCAGACTGTGGACTGGATAAAACCACTGCAAACATCATTGCCCTCCACACACACCTCTTCCCGACACCACCCTGGGCCTGAAAGTTCACCCACACTCTTTCTTACAAGACAGTTTGACTTCCACCAGCCCTGGTCACCACCCCTGGCCAAGCGGCGGTGTGATTCTGTTTCTGAAGTGCTCTGCAGCTGCCAAACCACCTGCCCAGTGTAAAGCCTTGAGTCTCCTGAAGCTTCTAGACCCTTTCTTGTGGGGCCCAGCCTTACTTTGTACTCACACCCCCCTGGTGTTCTATGTTGGCAAACTCCAGAAACTACTGTGTCACATCATGAGCTTAAAGAGGGTATGAGACACTGATGACTCTGAACTTTGACTACCAAGATAGGGCACAGAGAATCCCGCGGAGGCAGACCCTGACCGCTAGTCCACAGTTGTCTTGGTTAGGGTTTCTATGGCTGTGAAGGGACACCACGGCCACAGCAAACTCGAAAAAGGAAAACATTTCATTGCGGCGGCTCACTTACAGTTCAGAGGTTCAGTCCATATCGTCACGGCGGGCAGCATGCTAGTGTGCAAGCAGACATGGTGCTGGCTAAGTAGCCGAAGTCCTATAGACAACAGGAAGTGGTCTCCGTGTCACACTGAGGGAAGCTTGAGCAAAAGAGACCTCAAAGCCCGCCCCCCACAGTGACACACTTCCTCCAACAAGGCCACGCCTATGTCAACAAGGCCACACCCCCTAATAGTGCTATTCCCTTTGGGGGTCATTTTCTTTCAAACCACCACAGTGGTAAACTAGGTAAACATGTGGGTCTCATTCTAAGTCAGAGCTTTTGGTGATCTGTTATACAACAATAGAAAATATTTTTCCTTTGCCTCCCTTCTCCTCTTCTCTGCTCAGACTCTCATATATAACACATACCTTTCAGGGTGCCCTCGGTTAGATCAGCAGAATTTTCTCACAAGATACTGCATTTCCTTGTTTTGGATCATTTGAGTTTATCTTCAGTTGTACGGGCTTTTTCTTCTTTCTCATTTGCTATTTATCTCTCAGCCTGTCTCTGGGCTCTTTATTTAGATGCATCTAAGCTATTTATCCTTTCAATCTGTTTCTGTGTTTTTTATTTAGATTTTTTTTCGGTCCCCAAATTTCCATGGAGATTTTCCCTTGAACATGAATTTCTTTGCTGAGACAGAAAGACCCTTTTCACTCACAGATGTTTGCTCTCACTCATTATAAGGTCTTTAACTATTGTCTGGAAGTCTTTACTTGCAAAGCGCAGTGCTTTCGTCATGTTAGTACTGGGGTCTAGTGCTTGCCTCCCCCCCCATGAAGATTCCGAATTTTCTGCTTATTCATGAGTCAAGTCATTTTTACTACAACATCTGTATTTTCACTTTCATGTCATGAGACTCTGAACTCTGAGTCCTCTACAGAGGTTATTTTTTTACTTAGCAGGCTGTTAACCCAGCTGCATTCATGCGTCAGGTTCTAACCTGCCTGTGTGGGCTGTGGTGCCAATGCCAGCTCCGTCTCTGCTGCACCGACCTGCCCCTCATGGGCCATTTAAAAAGTCCAGGCCCATACCTGCACTGTCAGAGGACACACTGAGAACTCAGGAACAGCCTCGGGGATGCTGTCCTATCTCCTCTCTCTGTGACACACCTTGGTATGTTCAAGAACTGAGTGCCTTGCTGTTCCTCAGAACAAGAAGCTAGGCCACCAATCTCAGTCATGCTGTGTGCATCTCTCTACTCCATCCTCTGGGGTCAAGTGACAGGAGGGCAGCTTATGACAAATTAGTAAGCTTACACTATCTTAGACCTCAATCCTGAATCAACACAGAAGGTCTGTCCTTATAGCCCATGACTCCTCCTATCCCTGATACCACCATGGCTACCTGAAGACAGGGTCCCAAAGCTCAGGGCATAAGGAAAAGGGAAGAAGGCATTAGGCATTTGCTTTCTGCTAGGTATGCTAGCACCAAGTGCCTCTTGGGGCCCTCCATCCTCCCTTGTCAGTGTTGAGCCTAAAGCTACATCCAGTGAAACCAGTAATTCCAAGGAGGAAAAGATACCTTAATACCAACCAGGTGGTATGGTATGGTGGATCCTGGCATCTCCAAATCACCCACCAGGTCCGGATCCACACCTCAGTTGTAGTCAACAGCAACCCACTGGAGCATCAGGGTGGACAGTTGCTCAGGAAAAAAAAACACTCAATAAAAACCCAAATGAAATTCTGAAAATTGAATTTGAAGTGGGATTGAACTATTTCTTTGATAATTCACATTGAAGCTTTCTTTACTTCTAGCTCTGGTGGCCCTGTACATGGAAAACCTTCAAAGGGCCTCTAAGGCTCCCTGTGAGAGGATGAGTAGCCAACATGACAGAATAACAAGTCTTTCTTAACAAGAACCCAAAAGCAAGACTTCCCTGATGTAAAAAAAAAAACCATGGCTTAGTCTGCCTTTCATGTGTGTATAAAACAGAGACCAAGATCTAGGGTCTAGGAAAGTGTTTTAGTCTACCCATTCATGCCCTTCTGGGTCAGGGTCAAGGTTAGAGGTCAGTAAGTGTGCTAGGCCAAAAGTACATACATGTGGAACCTCCATTCTGTAAAATAAAATGTGATCAGAGTACAAATATTTCTATATATCACTGTGCTGGGTTTTTTGTTTGTTTGCTTGTTTCGTTGTTGGGCATTTTCTTGATTAATGGTTGACATGGGAAGGCCCTCACCACGGAGTGTACAACCACCCCTGGGCAGATGATCCTGGAGTATACAAAAAAAAACCAGACTGAGCAAACCTATGGGGAACGAGCCAGTAATTTTCATTCCTCTAAGGCTTTTCCTCAGTTCCTACCTCCAGGTTCCGGCCTTGACTTCCTGCTCTGACTTTTTTTCAGTGACCAACTGTGATCCAGATCTGTAAACGAAATGACACCCCCAAGTTGCTATGATGACTGTATTCACAGCAACAGAAAGCAAACTAGAACACCATCTATGACTGCCCAGCACATAAATACTTGACTACTAAGATGGCCTACCTTTTGTCAAAGATCAGATGTTCATACATGTGTGGGTTAATATCAGGGTTTTCAATTCAATTCCATTGGTCTACCTGTCTATTTTTGTGCCAGTAACAAGCTGTTTTCAGGACTATAGCTCTATAGTAGAGCTTTAAGTCAGGAATAATGATGCCTCTGGCAGTTCCTTTATTGTACAGGGTTGTTTTGGCTATCCTGGGTCTTTTGTTTTTCCATATAAAGTTGAGTATTGTTCTTTCAAGGTCTGTGAAGAATTGTGTTGGGATTTTGATAGGGATTGCACTGAATCTGTAAATTGCTTTAGGCAGGATTGCCATTTTTACTATGTTGATCCTACCTATCCAAGAACAAGGGAGATTTTTCCATTTTCTGGCATCTTCTTTAGTTTCTTTCTTTAAAGACTCAAAGTTCTTGTTATACAGGTCTTTCACTTGTTTGGTTAGTGTTACCCCAAGGCATTTTATGTTGTTTGTGGCTCTTCTAAAGGGTGCTGTTTCTCTGATTTCTTTCTCAGCCCATTTATCTGTTTTGTCTGGGGTTGGAAGAAGGCAAGTGACAAAAAGGAAATTTTCTGTCTGAAAGTGAGGCTGATTTAGATTTTGAAAGACCCAAAACTTAAATAAACAGTGTTCAAGTTCCCTTATTGAGAAAACCAACTCCAAGCTACGACCCTAAGGAAGGACACATGGATGGGACCTGGATACTTGAGATCTTGGCTTAACAGTAACTGCCTCTAGAAGGCTGAGTGACCAAAAGCTTCAGCAGATGGAGAGCATGGCCTCAGCCTTGATTATGCTTCAAACATTTATTCACAGTCTTGACACCGCTGTTGGAAAATCATCTCTTTCTGTGGAGTACAGCAGCCGCGCACAAGGCACAAGGTTCCTCTTGGAACACGGCACCAGATGTAACGTCACTTCAGGTTTCTAGCTGAGTGGAAGAAGGAGCTGTTTCCAAGTAAACCAGAAGACAACACTCTGAGCTGACTTTCCAGACATACTATCACCGCAAGATGACCAGGGACCACGGACGTTTGGAATTATCTCTGCTGGAGTGGGAGTCAGTCCACGAGGCTGGGAAGATAGTGGGAAGGTTCCCGGAAGGAGGTACTGTCTTACCTCATTATGGGAAGAGGAGATCTTGCAACAGCAGAAGAGCCTGGGATCAGCACAGCATCTTACAGCAGACAAGGGACAGCTGGTTTCAGTTCCGGGCCAGCCTTTGCAGGTAAATCAGGGAGTTAATCGCACCAGTGAAAAAGACCAATACTATTCCCATGTTGGGGTGCTGGCAGACTAACCAGAGCTACCTGCTAACAAGTGTTTGAATAGACATACTCTTCTTGGGAGATCTATTTGACAGTAACCTTCAAAATATTAAAAACTCACTTTTTTTTTTATCTAAAACCATTCCACTTCTATAAACTGATGGTGTGTACATACTGAGCCAAGATATATGAAAAGTATATTTGTGTGATACTGTTTGAAATTGTATTTAAAAGCGGAAAAAGTAAACAATAAACATAAAACAAAATATGTCACCTTAAGGATTTTTTTAAAGTGTTGAGATGTTCAAGGGATACTTGATGAGAAAGAATTGGATTACAATGCTTAGAATGCATCATTTCTGTAAAATAAATAATGCAGGTTTTATGCCTGGGAATGTCCTAAGACAACTCATACCCAATCTTTAAAATGACTGTTTGGGGAAAGTGTGACTACTGGCATTGTGTTTCCTTTCAAAGTAGCTTAAATATTTTATAAAGAGCATGAATTACTACTACAGGCAGGAAAAAAAACACAAAACAAGCATGATATAGAATAAAATACATGTGATGCTATTTACAGTAAACATTTTACTTGTAACCCATAATTAATGTTGTTTGTATTTTGGATACATAGTAAAAAAAATCTAGAAGGACATGTGGGCTGGCTAGTTTTATGTCAACTTGACACAAACTAGAGTAATTTTGGAAGGGGAAACTCAATTGAGAACATTCCCGCACCACCAGATTGGCCTGTAGTGCATTTTCTTAATTAATGATTGATATGGGAAGGCCAAGATCACCATGAGTGATGCCACCCTGGGCAGGTAGTCCTGGGACGTACAAGACACCAGGCTGAGACAGTCATGAGGACAAGCCAGCAAGCAGCACACACACACACACACACACACACACACACACACACACACACACACACACACACCATGGCTTCTGCTTAAGTTCCTATGCTTGCTCCTGCTTAGACCTCTCTGGATCAGGGACTACAAACACGTTCCTCCCCAAGCTACTGAGTTCACCGTGTTTTACCACAGTGACAGAAACCTAAGACAATACACAGCATTCCAGAATTACTCTTTCCCCAAAGGCAATATTTTTGGAGAAGAGCCTGAATTAGTTTGCAGTTATCATGTGTTACTGGAAATACGATGCCCAAGTAAATACTTGACAAGTCTGAATTCAGTGGCAAATTCTCCCATCATTCTTCTATTCCACAAGCAAGCAACTGAAGTTGTACAAAATACACTTCTGCTGTGAATGCCACAAGAGGTATTTTATTATGGATGAATGCGGGAAATGCTGTCTTTTCTTACTACAACACCCCACTTAGATCTAGCTCCCAAGATGCCTGGCAGGGCAAGGGGCATGACAGAGAGAGAAAGGGATGATGTATGTATTATTCACAATGTGGGTCTGCCTGAGCACAGACATAGACCACATATATATTTCAAATACACGGTGAGCTAGCACGCTCATCAGAAACATACACAGGTATCTATTTCTGGAGAGGGAAGAAACTGAAAACGGGTGGGGTTCTGGCCTCGGGCCAAATCTAGCAAGCAGACAGCATCCAAGGTGGTAGCGCCCTTGAGAATGGTGTCGAAACAGAGAGGCTCCTTCAGGGAGTAAACGCATGGTGGCTAGACCCACAATTCCTAGTTCTGCAGGGATGCCACCAATTCATTTGTCCTCCAGAATGACCCTGGTGGGGCCCAGCCTCTTGCCATGGGGCTGCCTCTCACATTCAGGGCTGCCTCCAAAATTCTGCCAGCTGCAGGGGTCCAAATTTTCCCATTTTTGCTTCCTCGCCTGTGACATCCATCGAGACCTGAGACCCAGATGCCTTTTTGTTGCAGCTCTAAGAATCTGCATCTTCCGTAAGTGTTGCCTCTAGTCTTTGGTATCAGGGAAGGGAGCCTCCAAGGTAAGCCTTATGCCCAGTGATCTGGGTAGAGGGCAGGCTTCCCCCGAGGTCCCCACCTTGAGACCCAAGGGTGAAGACACTGGCTGAGTCACGACGGAAAATGTGCCTAAGTCAGAGTCGAAGGAACCTCTTCCTGCTTTCCCAGGTCCTGGCCCAGCATTGTGACAAAAGCCTGGGCAGTTTTCACTTGATGGTGGAGACTGAGGCCAGATAAATTTAGGAGACCAAGTCCACACGGTCCTGCATGACTGGCGGCGAACACACTGCTCCTAGAGGGAACAGGAGAGAGCAAGACGAACTCGCTTAGGAAGATGAAACCACCGTTCTGCTAGCAATGGAGAGAGAAGCCGTGTAGCTTCCCGTGCCCCGTGTAACGGAGGCAGACACGGGCCACCGCAGAGGCTCCTGCTCATGGGATGTGATCCTATGCCCCCACTCTGCTTTCTAGTAAGAGTGGGCTACTGGATTTGGGGAACCAAGGACATGGCACGATACAGAGGGGAATTAAGGCATCGGTTCTCGGCATCCACAGCAGGAGGGGGACACAGACACAGTACAGCACCCTCGTCCACCTGCTCCCCACCCCCACACACCAGCCTAAAGAGACTTGCGAATCCAAGCGGTTCTGTGCTTCAAGCTAAATTCTGACTCCTCGACAAAGTACCTCCTGTCCTGTCCCGCCCGTGAAAGGACACCCCTTTGGGGGAGTCCTCGTCGCTCTGAAGAAGCACCTGGAACCCCCTGGGGTGGCTGTGTGGCACGGCTCTCCTGGCTGAGACTCTGCCCGTCTTGCCCCGCCAGGAAGGCCTGAACTCTATTTTCTATTTATGGTTGGACCAGTGAGCAGCCAGCTGTGCGAGGCGAGTGGGAGCTGGGGGCATGCTCTGGCTCTATCCTGGATCAGCCAGTCTGGCTTAAG